ATTTATATCTTGCCTCATTTCGCCTGTTGCCTGCAATTAATTAAATAATATACATTTATCACACGTAAATGTCTGTTTGAACTATCGTACAATAAAGTTTATAAAAAGTAAAAAATATCTAATACAGTGAAATATGGCGTTCAAAAATTGTTCGTAAACTGAGGCGTTCGAAACCCGAGGTTCCACTGTATTAATACACCAGCCTAACTTTATGAAGAGATCAGGCTGGCTCCAACTATGAAATATGGAACCGTCCCAAGAATATCAGAAAACGATCCTCACCATTTAACTGTTCTATTGTGGGGAATGGCAGTGATGAAGAACTTTTTCTGTATGAGGATTACTTAGTCAGAAGGAATGTATGGCGATCGGTCAAAAAGTGACCTTTTAAAGTTTTACATTTTTTACTTAGGAGACCTCGTAACGTCGTGAAATGCAAGAAAAATCGGGGTTTTTTCTGCATATATGGATGCTAGTGTGTGGGGGGAAACGATTTTGTTCACCCTCTTTGAAGCTTAATAATTCGTTACTTCGGACAAAAATTTCTGAAATTTTGCAGGGGAATATATTTATTAGGGAAATTGAAGCTATTAAATTTTGGTGATTAAAGGTAGAGTGGTGAGGAAATAGAGGTGNCCCTTGTGCACAACGTGCACAAGGACCTGCACAACTTAAGTTAATGGTATGTGTGCGAAGATATATTCTGTAAAACAGTGTTTTTCAACCTTCTTGAATACGCGACCCCTTTACAAGTTAAAAAAATTCTGGCGACCCCCCAGGACCATATTAAAACTATGTCAGTGATTTTATAAACTACGTATTTAATTTTCTACGTACTTAAGTATTTTCTACGTATTTAAGTATTTTCACATCACATACCTATTACAAATAGCGAATAAAAAATATATCGTATTTGCTCTAATGTTTCAGGTTTTAAAACCCCATAATAAGAACTCTCTAATGACACGAGCCTTATTGTCTGTCACTAACTCGATTACATCATTTCAATAATTGTATCAAACCAATATTCGTAACAGCAAATATTTAAGAGATCAAAACTCTAAAACTAACGATTGAATCCAAAATGCTTAATAAATAGTGTGTGCTCCATCTGTTATATGATGTTTTTATTAATTGAAACACCTGTAGGTTTTTCTGCATTTATATGACGTAAAGTCTGTTATTGAGATTTAGTTACTAAATTGTGTAATTAATAGTAACTTATCGCAAAGATAATGTTTATTAAATTGAATAAAAATATTACAATTTTACTATAATTAATGATATTTATTTTGATTTAAAATCATTGCTATTTTAATCTGTACCTATATAAACATAAAAATTATAGTCTAATTGATAAAAATGTTATTAAATCTATCGAATATTTACCTGTTCTAAGTTACTTTTATCCGTTTGTTAATCCGGCTGATAATATAGCCTACTTGTATTAAAAGTTACATCAATAGTTTTCCATTTATTCACTTTCGACCTGGATCCAGCACAACAGAAAAGTTTTTAAATGATTCATTCCAGAAGTGAAGAGTATTTCATAACAATGCGCAATCAAGTTGTTTCTGTTCGAAAAATTTACTGATAAGATTATTAATCATTTATTTTTGAAGATATACTTGTAGCAGAGGTCGTGTATTGATAACTAGCAGGTGGGCCCGGCGTTGCTCGGGCAAAAGTAACGGTAACTAAGATAAAGATTATTACGTTACAGTAAACCTTACCCGTTTTCACAGAATGCAAGAATTGGGTCCCCTTGTTTCCAGACTAATTAGAGAATTTTTAGATGGGTCTAAAAATATGTTCGATTTCCCGCAAAAACGAAAAAAACTGCATCTGCGTCTTGCACGTCGCTTTCTCTTAACAATTCCATTGTTAC